AATACCACAACCCCATCAAATATCTCTTCCTGTTAGCCATTAATGGTAATATTCCAACGCTGAATCAACAACAAGAATAGAGATGGCAACAGCACAGATCATTCTCATGTTGGCTCTTAAAACTCCAGAGTTTCGAGGTCCAATGACTGAAATATAGAGGTCAATCTCTCAGCCTTGAACATGTTGAAACTTCCCAGATTGAAAGTAGAGGCAAAAACAGCTATGAAAGCCTAGAAAATCAATCCTGCAGAAGGAAAAACTAACTTTTTGTGTGTCAGTGTGACAACATGTATCATGGTCTTGACATCCAATGTGCTTTGAAAATCTGATTCAGACTACAATAGAACACTGGATCCCTACCGACTCTAGCATTCCCTGGGGTGCCATACTGACAGCCACCCACTGAATGCTCCTTACATGTCTAGAGAAAATGTAACTACCGGGTATTACAGATTCTTCATCATTATTGTGACATACAATAATAAGAATGTCCAAGCTGTTCGTACTCACAGACCTTGAATACTGGAAAGGTGGGACATGTTTTATCATATCAAATCCTCATGCATCAACTGTTATTTTCATTTGAGATGACTTTCATCAACAATTTCATCTCCTGTTTGTAAACCAGGCTTCAATTGTTCCGCTAAGCGTGTTAGGTACCGTATTCGACGTAATAAGCGCCCCGCTCTAATAAGCCCACGACGATATTTGCTAATATATTGGCTTGTGAACAATCCCAATTGGCACCCTTCCAATTGAACATTGTACACCCTTAATCAAGGGCAATTAAATTCTGGAAAAATATATCTGTCGTACATAAACATTTCAGGCTGTCAGCATAAACCACGAAATTTATCTTTCAACTCTGTTTTTTTCCACCAAAATAATATTCTAATAAGCTGATAAGAGCCCTGTTCCTAATTTTGAGAGCGCCCTGGACGCTTATTATGTCGAATACGGTATATGAATTTCAGCATGTTCAGAGTTGGTGAGAGGGATAGTGACTTTTGGTTAACGTCAGTCACCAATATTCCAACAATATCACTGCAGCCTGTACGTAATCAAGTCTTGAGAGGCTACCAATGACTATATACATGAGCAACAATCCAGTTTAGTTGAACCTAACTAACATCAAGCATAGATTACTGGGGACAATTTCTAACCTAAATATCAAGGTGATGATTGTTGGTATCACTTGTGATATGGCATTCAGGCAAGAATATTTCTACAAGAACCTAAAACAGGAACTCCCTCATCCCCTAAAACTAAAACACAGTTCTATTGACATATATATGTACCTGTAGAAAACATCATCTACAATGTCTTTTGATGCACATATGTATAAAAACACCACATCATGTACATAGCATGAATAGCATCACAATTCTCCAGAGATACCATTACCACTGCCTGTTCCAACAGGTTACCATGGTGAAACGTTACATAATTGCCCTGCTCTACCCCACACAATACACATGTACCTGCGGAACCTGCCTACTACATCACTACTGTTGACTGAAACTGATACAGATCATGCAGAAAGGATACTTTAATCACAGGATTCTAGGGACTGTATCAAACACATGACATTTCAAAAGAAAATAATAAACATGAATATTACCAGCTTGATTAACTACGTAAATAACAGTCCACAAAGGAACGTCTACAATGTTCAATAATGGGCCACTTTCAGCTTTGTTCAAGTTCAGTTATGGTATACAGAAAGCTTGATAAATAACCATATTCGTTACATAGTCGGTAGTAAGCATGGTCAACAAATCAAACAGAAAATAGACAGGGTTATTTTAAACATTCAAACCTAACACCGCCATGCTACCAAGTAACATACTTTCTAGTACTACATGTGTCAACTCCTACATTCTGCCTGTACAAACCCTGCCGTGTTGTTAAACTGGCAGAACACAATACCAATAGTGAGTGATCAGTCGTCCCAAGCAACAGGAAGGCGACAAACCACCTGTACTACATAAAACACTTCTCCACAACTTGCATCATGTTCTCCAACAAAACTCCCTGTAAGCAACCTGATTTCTGTGCCAGTCTCCCTCTTGCCTGTGCTTGTGGCCTTTACACAGATAGAAAACAGACCTGCTTCATCTATATCACTGTATATTGTCTATGTGGTCAATGTCTGAAGGGCACAACATTCAAACCATCTCCAGGAAAACAATTGTGCCCTAACACACTCCCTTTTGCATATACTGACAAATAACACACTCCCTCTTGCATATACTGACAAATAACACACACCCTCTTGCATATACTGACAAATAACACACTCCCTCTTGCATATACTGACAACTATCACATTTTCAGTCAGTCAAAAGTGTTGGTATTTCAGCTGAAGTTACCACAGAATTTTTTCTTCTGAGTTACTCTTTTACAGATGAAAAAAGACAACAAACAAGAATGATACAACCAGTGATTCTTTCCCCATATAGAAACCTTTTCACTCAAAACACAAATGCTGGAACCATTATCCCGAAAACATGCTACAAACAGAAAATGTACATCATGTTATTGATCTCCATCATAATGACTATAGACATGACAGAAGGTTCATGTTAACATGTTTCATCATTGAAAACAAAAGAAATGTCTTACAGTACCTATACTATAGTTTCAACAACCCGCGTTGGTGTGACCGGTCAGTAACCATGCATATATTGGGATTATGGTACACCACAGAGACATCACGTGTATATCACTTAACCTACATATGAACCCGACACAGACATGTTTCTGCGTCTCACGTCGTTTTGCACATGGCCAACCCAACTTTTTTAATGCTGTCACTGGTTGCTTTTTTGTCCAAAAACTGGCTGTTGCTTCATGTACTAAAGAACTGTGTAGCCTAAACTGTGATAATTATTGATAATGTTACATCAATCACTGTATACTGTATACAGTGTTTGGCAACACCTGATTTATGCTGAGCAGAACACCATGAACACAATGTCCTTCTCTGAGAATATGTAAATTTATGTTTATCCTGTTCATATCTACAAGCATCAGTGTGATAATTACTAAAAAAGAATACTTGTTCAACAAGATCAGGTAAACAGAAAAAGATGATTTCTTTTCTCTTCTTACGGACCCATCACTGTCCGTTCCCGACATTTTCCTGGATAAGTAGCATACATTCCTATACAACTCCACAGCTGAGCCTAAGGTGTTCACCCGACATCATACAACACACACATATTAAGTGTGTTAAACGATAAACAAAACCTGGTGCATCACCAACTTTCTACAATGTCAATGAACTCAGCTATGTTAACTCCTGCCAAGACGTGAGGGAAGCTGATGTCAAACATTAACATCATATTGGGCATAAATGAGAGTGCTAGATTGTCCCTATGAAAAACACACCAGGAAGTTGTCAGATGAACCTGTCACTCTGAAATACTTCAAGTAATTGGTAGGATTTCTGTAAAGGAGACCAACAAACACAAACGTATCTTTTCCTACTTGTACTACCGTATACACTGTATTAAGCACGCTGCACCAATAAGCGCCCCCTGACTTCTAGTTCAATCTGAAAGTAATCTTTACAAGCGCTCGCATATAACTTAATGTAAGACTGAAAATGTACATGGCAGTCCCTATTTTCTTGTGTATATTTCACTTCTTTTTTTTAACAGAAACAGCGCAGGAGTATATAATTGCCTTGCTATTGAAAAAGAACTTGTTTTATCATCGTTTGAACTAAGAGTTTATTCCCTATCGCTTGATCACCTTAAACAAATTTAACTTATTGTGTACACAATGTATGGTTATAAAAAGCACTCCCTCAGTGAATTTTCATCCAGACAGCTTATTTATGTTTCCTGAACATAAAGAAGACAAGAATTTTCTACATAGCCAGGACATGAACATGATGAAATCTACACATTTCACCATATCATACCTTCATCATGTTCCTGTCAGAATGATGAAATCTGATTGGACCACATGATCTTGATAAAATATGATGTATCCCACCTTGGAGGGGTATACATTCCTCAGTGGGCGAATAAATCCCTTATACCCTGCCATGAGCAAGTCAGGCTGCACGTGGATTTCTGAGCGGTGAAATAGATCCCTTATGCCCCGCTTCAAAGCAAAATTCGCAAGCTTTTTCCGAGTCAGTGGAAGTCACTTGACAGAGCACAAGTCAACCTCAGCTCAATCGAACAATTGTTTTCTATCTATTTTGAATTTGTTTGATTCTTTTACGTCATATTAAGACATGACGGTAAGATAAATTTGTTGTAGCAGGATCACTCGGGGTACATATGGTTTTATGCTCGTGCAAGACACACAAAAACTCATGTACCCCGAGTGACCCTGCTACAACTCATAATGTTAATATCAATCAGGGATTTACCTGGGCCAATCTATTTTTGCATACCTGGGTACTCTCAGTAACTAATTTTGGGGGTCCAAGGCATTGTTTGCATCCATTTCTAATTTCTACCTGTTGGAATGCCAAATTTTGCCTCTGATAAAACCCTAAACAATGTTCTTATTTCTTCTGGGGAACAATCTGGAGGACATTTATGCACAATTTACACACATTATTTACACACATTATTTACACACATTGTGTCAATGTCACAGTTTGTGTCCTTAACCTCTAGCATGAAACCAGTCAGTTAAACTACACACAGCTAGTTACCTCACCTGATAATACCCCTAAAAGGAACCCCTGAGCAACAGAAATTGAGACAGGATAGGTTGTGCAAGAGAAATAAAGTTATTTTTGTTAAACTAAAGACTGTGTCACTAACACAATCTAAACAACACTTCATACCAACATGATAAATAAACATGACAAATCCAACGTGAAACAATCACGGCATGACCCTGGCATGTCAAACTAAGAACAGAAGCCTCAACTGATAACCTGAGTCATAACAAAACCTGGATCCTATCTGTAAGCATGGTAAGGCCCCAGGATGGACCCAAACAGTTGGTATTTGGTCAGAGGCACTTACCTAGCCCTCACAGCTACCCACTGCCACCACATGAAGTACCTTCACGTCCATCAACTCTCTCCGGCTACACCAGTGACAGTCCATTGACACAGGTAAACTTGAGTGCCTGTCTAGCAATAGAGGGGACATATCACGACTCAGGGAGAAATTCCTCCTTGATATACACCGACTGTGGCCAAGTACAAACATGATGTAAACACTCTGGCTGTAGCCTACACATGCCCAACACATGAGCTCCCTCGCCTACTCCGCTATTTTAATCCTAGACCACTGCAATGCGAGAGTCACCTTGTAGACAGCACTGTTGCATGAGAAGACACACGTCAAGCTTCTAGATGCTTGAGTTAAACATGGGAAAATTGAAGAGAAATTGGCACAGAAACTGCAGCCATTGTCTGTCCATCACTCATATGAGCAAATAATAAGTCAGCAAAGCTGTACATGCATACTGTTTTGCTTTTCGTTGAAGGATGACAGGGATGGGAAGAAGTTATTGAAGATGTAATACAAACGGTAACCTATATATATTTAACCTTTTGCACACAACTGGATCAAAATATTCCACAGATGATAATACATTTTTTTAAAGTCTGCAGCTAGCTGCAAGTAATTTCAGTGCTCTTGATAAAATTCCATGAAAAAGAAATTCCAGCTCATTAGAATGTTTAATGGAAAATAAATATGGTAATGACATTAAACATAGTGGGAAGTAGGCAGGTATACAACTTTTCATCAAAAAGAATGATTTTCAATGATAATTATTTGCCATGTTCTCCTTCAAATATCTTTCAAGTCTGTGATGGAGTTGTAACATGTATCATACTATGTTTGTTAAATGTTTGATACATTACTGTTTACAGTGTATATTGCAAGGTCAACAACTGAGCTGCAGCATGTGCCTATCACCTGACAGGTCAAAAGACCATGCATGGCTGCCCAGGAATGTCCCCACACAAAGGCCATGCATGGACTAATGGTAATAGGTTTCACAAAAGTATCTGTCAGTGACAACCTCCAACTAGATTCTACATAGGGCAGACATAAATATATCTGCCTAATAGTTAAAATGACCTTTGGACCTCACACAAAAGGCAAAATTACAGAATTGACAAAATTTAAGAAAACATTACCATGAAGCAGTTATTGTGTGTGTGGTCTAACACTCAGCAGTATTAAAGCTATGTGAGGGCAGCCTCTAAATAATTGTGTCTGGCCCAGACAATCCAATGATTGATATTATCTGTGACACACGAACAGCAAGTCTTAACAAAATATGGAAATTAATTGGCTAGTCACCCTAGTACTGTTATGTTAGACTATGGTAGACTTACAATAGACCGTCGACAAATAATTACACCTATAGAAATGAAATTATTCCACACATTTATTTTCCAACCTACAAAGTGCAGTTATCTCATTAACTCACAGCTGTGACTGGACCACGGACTATGATCCAGTGAGGTGTACCTTCACTACATACTACAGTATGCTGAAATTGTCAACCAACATAACATGATAACAATCAACATGATATTCTCGAAAAGGAGAAATTCTTAAATCAAGTTCCTTTGGCATGTTTGGAAACAATGAACCAAATAAATGTTCATGACAGAAAATCAATTTCATATGAGATAGATAATTAGAATTATTCCATTTTATGATGTTAGCAGACATGTTTTAGTCTCTATGTTGGATCTATCCTTTACATGCAATAGTAACTAGTTAGACAAGGCAGACTCTGGTTTGGGTAGGCAGTGATGCAGATGCATGGTTAGAATATATAAAAAGGCGCAAGAAATAAAAAAATCATAATAATTAGACAACTAATTTTAATTACCATGATAATTGGCAACTGATGTCATATTAGTTCAAATTACACTAGCATTGTGTCCAGTGAAGAGGTGGTAAATGCTTCAATCAAAGACACAGTTGTCACAACCATTCCTCGATCACATGTTGTCTAAGACAACCAAACCAATGTCAGACTACCCTCATAAGCCAAGTAAACATAGATCCTTGAACTCTCAGTGGCATTACAAAGAAGATCATTGCCAACCATGCCAACTACAAAATATTAACAATGGTACTGTTTGCTACAGACACCTCAAAATCTTGGCACAAAACCACCAGCTTACCATTCTATGCCTAACGAGCAAGGTTCTTCGTGGCGTTCTCCCGTGTTCTGTAAGAAAAAAACTGTTATTGTATCCCAACCTTTTCTGTACCAAGAGTAACCTCCCTTTGTGTGATTGGGTTAAGCTCCTTTTGAAAAGAATAAAATGATCCTGCAATGTGTGTTGTGGTAATCCTGCCCTCTGCTACATTGCTTCAATCCCATTCTACCATCACTTATCACAATATCGTTTCGTTGTTATGGATTCGGAGCATGGATTAGTTTCGTTGTCATGGCAACAACAGAAACTGGCTGAAGCAATGAAGATCAGTGGTGGACTGGTGATAGCCAAGTTAGACGATTAAAACAGAAACAAGAAAGGAAAAAGGGAAATGATTGATAATGTCTGAGACTTACAGGATAGTAATTCATCAATCACTTACAAAAATAGCTCCCTTGAAATGTAAAGCCTGGACATGGAAGAGATGAAAGATATTTAAAATTGCACGACACTGCTCAAAGTATGAAAACAGTAGAGCATCTGATGTGGTTTTCTGTTGCTATGACAAGTCATTAGCCAAAGAAAGTAAGTATCTTTTGAGGATAAAAGCAGAGTTTCCTTTTAGAGCTAATAGTTCAACCACATTACATGAGGTATGATTGGTTGATGTAAAATGCATAAGTTGGAGAGAATAATACCACTGTCTGGTGCTCCTGTGACCTGAGGAGTTGGGCAGATAAACTATAATGCCTGCAAAGCCTAGAAAAACATTCAGGGCTCGATTTAATAAAATTGTTTAAACTTGCACCAGGTGCAAGACATTAAAATCCAGTTACACCAGACAAAATCAGGTTGCATCAGCAAGCCTGACCACCCCATCCCGTTATTCCCCTCATATGACTAGCAAGGGTTGATGAAGACCAATTCTAACCCGGATCGTCACAGGTTGGTCAACTTCGGTGATAGATAAAGCTACAGTACAGAACATAATCTCGAAGTACCCAGTTTGATGATTTCAAGCCCAAGAAAGCATTAAAGATTACAGATAACAAAGAGGTTGGTGATGTATGGTAACGTCATGATTAAGCTCAGATTGTTTTCAAAGATTGACAATTAAGGGTAAGTCAGACACAAATTGGAAAAAAAATAAAAATATTAACATGATTAGGTTGCATTTTCAATAATAGGTTGCACTGGTGCATATTATACATAGCTAAATCGAGCCCTGACATTTCTTTTAACATGTTCAACATTAAACATATTAATATATATTGCCAGGTCATTTGACGGAAGTGGGTAAGCCACAGGCCCATAGTACAATTATTTCCATATTGTATGAGCATCATGAATGTAGATAATGTAGATATTTAACTTATACCAAAGCATAGTGTATATAACTTATACTAATATATATGGTACACATGGTATAAAGAGCAATACTTCTGAGCATGTTGGGTATCACAAAATATTTAATTAGACATTGGTATACAACATGATACAATACAATGTAGTAACATAAAGTCGTAACATAATCCTTAAATTTCCTTGAAATACATAAAAATGTGTCTTAATGTAGAATTATTTTTCATATACAGTTGAACTTTGCCATGATTGTGGTGTCGGATTCACCCAATCAGTGATGTAACGATCCTGTTTGTTTTTGTATATAATTTATTAACCTGAAAGTTGCATAGAAATTAAGGAACTAGAGTCTTTTCTTTTCATCAAAGAACAATTATGATCAAATGATTACATTATAATGCCACTCGACGTGAAGTATCTCAAGTCAACAATGGTCTTTACAGGTTGTTGTGTGCTGAGAAATTTGATAGACATTTTTTTGAACTTGCGAAATTTTCTTTTTGAGATACAGAAACTTGATATTCATAAAGATGAGCATTTATGCATACCATACATAATTCAAATCTAACGTAAATCTTACTTGGAAATTTTATTTGGGGGTGGTGGGAGGGTGGGTGGGGTGTCATTATGCTAATTGCCTGTCGAATTGGTGCGATAGTTGCCTCATGGCAAGTGACACACTTTTCAAATAGTTTCGACAGTAGCATTGAGAGCTTCAATTTTAATTTGTCGGGAATGGTAAAGTTGAATTTAATCAGGGTTCTAAGTTCACCCTTTTACCAAAGAGCCAAGTGGCTCCTAACACAAATATTTTAGGAGCCAACCTTTTTTCCCCCAAGGAGCCAGACTGACTCATTGAGAGCTTGTGATAGGACATATGTTTGCAGGGGTTTCTTTGTGTGAAGTATAAGACGGGCATTCAATTGGACACTTATCAATAATGCAAATATTTCCTTTTATTGTACAATATATATTTTACAAGGCCACACAAAAAATGTATTGTGGTTCCGATACAGCAATTTTTAACATAGGGTAGGTAGGTATTCTTTTCTTTATAACAATTAAGATCTATACTTTCAAGGGGACAACAAAGATTGTAAAAATGAATACTTTGCTGTTTCACATCACATCATGCGATGTATCATTTCATGACTTTATCTTGTAAATGAAATAGATAAAAGAATTAATAAAAAATCATCATCTTAAAAGGGAAGTGTACACGCAAAAATCACTTTCTTTCTTTTTCTAAACAAAACGCAATTTTAGAATTAATTAGTATCTGTGTTTGAAAATATACACTCATTTTTTTCACAGTGAAAGTAGAAAGCTCACAAAAGTGTGAAAATGATATGCCGTTATGAGGCCTTCTTTTTTCGAGCTAAACAGGCCTGAGTTATCCCCCTTAGATTATGACGTAATTGGTGCCAATTCAACTGGGTCCCCTGTCTATTCTCAACGCAAAAGATATCAAGGACCAGTTTGCGGTAAAACAACATGGCCTACGACACACTCCGGCGCAGTGGTGACTCAGCATAACACTATGCTGGCTGGCATCTGAGACGCTAGAATCACACACCTAGACCTACACCACGTGAAGCGGCTCTAACAAAGCATGATGACGTCATAATGTTTATCAATTGGCACCAATGACGTCATATTGCAAGGGGCATAAGCCATGGTGTTTTTGTTGTGGAAATAGAACACTTGGTAAATGTGAAAAAT